CCAAATTTTGTTCTGTGAATCTGAAAAAGATGTACATTTAACTATAATGACTACAGGACTAGCAAAACAACATCTTTTGATTATTTTTGCTTAGGTTTGCCCAAGTTACTATATGATATAGCAAATAAATGCACATTCCAATAAAGCTTTTTTCCCCTTCAATCTTAAATTGAATAACATCACTCTAGTCCCCATAGCTTATTAGTGAAGCTTCTAGTTTCTTTGTAACTGGAGAAAAATGTCTGTTGTGTTATATGTGATGATGCACCACACCATCTGCACTTACCTTTTCAAAATCATAGATCCACCCATAGGAATCTTTCATCATCCTTCTCCTTGTCTATCCCTTCTTAGTTTTTAAGTCTCTCACAGTGTCGCTCCCCACCTCTTGACTTATTTCTATCTTTCCTGCACTGCCCATGCACCCTTTCATTCCTGCGTTTCACCCATGACATCGTGTAATCCAGACTGTCATAATGCGGCTGTGCAAGGGGCTCCATGAAGGTTGCATAGACAGCTTGAAATCTGGCATCTCCTAACTTCTGAATGCTTGGCTTTGCAACCTGCCTGCCCTTTTTGATATAATTTTTGGACATCATGCAATAACAATTGAACTGCTCGCAAAGGTTAGAGCTTCACTAAAACTCTGTCTTGCCATCCTGGAATAGGAAAAGGTGAAGAGAACCAGGTTCCCAAGGCTCAGGGCCAGGCTGCCTGGTGCTATGCAGCCATGCTTAGTCCTGGGTTGCCAGGAGAGTTTCCTGGTCTGGGTTTCCGGTGTACCAGGCTCCTATATTTTGGCACCTAAATAATGACCAGCCACTCCTTATAAGTACTTTGTACAGACAAAGAAGTACCTTCTGAATTGAGGGCCCCTTGGCAAAGCCTTCCCTGAGGTATTGTATAGAATAAAAACATAACATAAGACCTGCCATTGGGTTAGACCATAGGTCCATCTTGCCCAGTATCTGGTGTCACACAGTGACAGAGAGTGGATGCTGAAAGGGTGAGTGAACTGGGCTTTTTTCCACTGTTACTGTCTCACTTACAGCCTCCAGCATTTAGCCCTAGGCGCTTGTACACATGACAGTCGTCACGATGTACATGTGATGAAAATACAATTTGTGTGGCTTAATGGTGCTACACATTATACGTGTGCCAGTTTTGTGGAGTTTAGATGAGTTTGCATCTTTGCAAACTAAACTACATCCGGATATAGTTTAGTTTGCAATGATAAGTTGCAGTTGTTAGCTCGCCACTGGCCACAGAGAGGCAGACAGGCTCTGCAGACATAAAAAAAAGATTGGGCCCCACACCACTTCTACTTTCAGCAGGTGCTTTAAAGTTTCTGAAGGCAGAAGCGGTGATGGCTCCGATCCTTTTTAGGTTTTTTTCTTTTTTTGGTGGAGCCTACTCGCCTCTCCTACAGCCAGGGGGCAGCCTGCTGGCAGGCCAAGTGACCCCTGAGCTGCAGGCAGCCTCGGTCTTTCCCTCCGCAGTGGCAGCACCCCCCAGGGCTCCCCAGGTGGGCTGCCCCAGCTCAGAGGCAGCACCCGGCCTGATCCAACTGTTCCCTGAGCCTGCCCACTGAAAGCTGGCCAGGCGCTGCTCCCCAGGTGGGCTCAGGGAACAGTTGGATCGGGCTGGGTGCTGCCTTCAAGCTGGGGCAGCACCCAGCCTGCTAGCGGCCTGCCCGGGCAGACCCAGGGGGCACCACCACCATGGAGGGAAGGACCAGGGGCCCCCCACAACTCAGGGGCTGCTCGCCCCCTCCTCCCCCCCGGCCGAGGGCAGGCTCCATCTCCATCAACAACAACAAAAAAGGATCAGGCCCCTCACCTTAACATGACAGAAAAATTGAAATGGTGGGTTTCAATTAAAAACCCACCATTTCAATTTAGGGGGCATAGAATAAAACCATGAGGACTAAACCCCTGTCATATGTACACATGCCCCCTGACTCCCATGCCCAATACCTACTGATGCACCTTTCCTTCAAGAATTTGTCCAGTCCCTGGATTTTCTCTCCACTGCCCCAGCTTGTCTGAACATGGCTATCGCAAAGGCAGAGCTGGCCTCTCAGCCTCCTGTCTGTAGTGGCCAATATTTGTCCTTTTCCTCATCATTCCCTTCCCAAAGGATTTCTTAACACTGAAAGGTTCCCTGAAGACATGGTCTGGCAAAGGCCGTGGCCTGAATGCTGCCCTGGTTAGAATTAAAATGAGTCAGGAGATGTTCCTTCCTCAGAGCAGAATATAGGCAGGCGGGCTGTGTAGGACCTCAAGCTACTGGCACCTGGGCCAGCTGTGGTCTTGTCTTTGGTCTGGTGGCCAAGATCTCTCACTGTACTGCAGGCACTACTGGGTCAAAGCTGACAGTCCTTCTGAGAGGCAGGCAGGCTTCATCACCTTCCTTTTAGGGCTGGGAAAGCAAAGATAACAGGCAAGAGGTAACTTCTCTACAGTTGCACAATATGTCACTGTAGTGTTAGGAATGCAGCCCAGAATCCCTGATGTTCACCCCCTCCCTTGGCCTGTAAGCTCATACTTTCTTTCTGTGCATCTGCAAGCAGAAAGTATAAAGGGTTGATCTGAACTACACAAGTGGCGTGTGGGTATGTGTGTGTATGTGCATGGACTCTCAGAGCTGTGTCCTTGCCCCCTAGCCTCTGCAGGTAGTTGCACTGCAGTGACCTGGATGTGCAGTGCAGTCTTCCTATGCCTACTATATACCTGAAGGTTCCCGAGGTTGCCAGTCCGCAAGGATGTGTAAGGCTGGAATCTTCCCCAACTTGTGCATTGACCTCCCTGGGGTAGTGAGAAGAGGTTGTCTGCACTCTCTCCTGCTTCCCCCCATGCATTCTTGCTAGCTGGAGCAAGAGTTCATTCTAAGGTGAAAGTAGCACTTGGGAAGGTGCAAAAAGCCCCAAGGGGCTTGTTTGTCCTTCTCTGATCACTTTTATGTCTTGAATTTAGAGCAGCTGTTGCTGTAGGGAGTTAAAAAACCGCAGCCTTTATGACAGGGTGTAGTCCTGTAGGGCATTTTGCTATCGCAAGTGCAGCTGGCAGGACTACAGGGGCCACCACTCCATATAGAAGGGCTCGACATATTGCTGCTCATCTGTATCCAGGAGTCCCTAGAAAGTAAACTTAGGTAGGGGGAAGGGGGGAGGCTGTTAGGTGAAATGATGCCCTCTCTCTACAGCCAATATGGGTCTGTTCCCTGCACCCAGGGCCCTCTGTACTCAAAGCACAGGAGCACCAAACTGTGACAAGCATCACTGTGTCTGTGACAGCTGCTTCTGCTTTTCACAGCAGCATCACTGTACTCTATTGCCATGGGACCTTCTTCATCCCTGCTCAAGGATAGGTTTGTAAGAAAGAAGGTAATTGAACAACAGCCTGCCTGTGGGCAGCTGTGAATTCTCCATCACTTGGCTCTTATAAGCCAAGGCAGAGCCTCTTTTTCTGAAACAGGTGCCCTAGAGTGGTAGGGGTCAAGCTTTTTTGGCAGGCATGCCACAAATAATCCCTAGCCCCTTGCCAAGTGCCATTCTGATCTTTCATAGAATCATAGAAAATTAGGGTTGGATAAGACCTCAGAAGGGCATCTAGTCCAACCGCCTGCTCAAAGCAGGACCATCCCCAACTATGTCATCCAAGTCCCTTTCCTCGACCCAATTTGCTGCTCTGCTTTCTGCTCCCTGCCCTATCTGCCAGTGTTTTGCCTGTCTCCTTTTTGATCTACCATATGCCACATGCAGAGGCTGTCCATGCCACTTGTGACACTTTGGCCAGAGGTTGGCCACCCCTGCCTTAAAGCAACCACATATTTGGGGCAGGGTGCAGGAGAAACTGAATGAAGGTCCCTGGCCTGCACTCGGCCCCAGCTGAGAAGGGAAAATATGTGCCTATAAACCTCTGTGGTTTCCCTTGCTTCATGCCCACCCACCTGGAGTTGAAACCACAGGACCAGAGTACATAACATGGGGAAAGTGTGGACAGGACCCAGTGGTTGTTAAGCTGGGAAGGAATCTGGGCTATATTCCATGATGAGCTTAACAAAAGACAGGGAATGTGGGCTTCCCCTGACAGCTTCTCTTGGAAGTCAAATCCCACCATGTCCATATGAGTGACCCCTGGACTTTCCCCCCTACCCCCGCATATGGATTCACTATGGGCAGAGTGAGCTCCAAGCCTGGTGGAGTCACCCACCTGTAAGCAGGGGTGACTATTGTAATGGGTGCATGGGTTTTAAATGTGTTTTAAGGTACTATGCTGTGTATATATATAAATATATATATATCACTATATATATATAACTATATATATATATTTCCAAAAAACCAAAACAACACAAAACCTGTTAGCCTGCTGTTACACGTGCTGATTGGCTGTTTCTGCCACCATGCTGCACAGCAGGGGCTGCTGCCCCTTACAAATTCAGGACGCTGTGGGGCATCAAATGAGTTCTGTTTTGCTCCTCTCATGAGATCAGTTGCACTTGCATTACCGAGTTCTGCACTTGTCTTTCCTGCTTTATGAAACCATGCAAATCCTGGGGCAAGGTGATGGCAGCATTTGCTAAATGCCTGAGAATAAAAGAGCAAATGCAATGTGGTGGCATGTGTCACCAGTGCCCCCTAATGAGCTGCTGCACACAGCAGGAGCTCCCTCATGTAGGAGACCAAGCCCAAGGACAGGTTCTGTCCCGTGCCCCTATACACAGCCTTGGCTGTACATGGAAGGCAAAGACTGTGGGGGGTGAATATGCTGCAAAATGCCAAGAGACAACTGTCTTGCTGCAAATGCAGGCCTAATGCAAGTGACTCAATGTTGCCCGCTTGCAGAAGCCTGGAACCAGGGATGGATCAGGAGGATGTGGTACTATGGGGTTCCCAGGTCTTAGACAACTTTAGGCAGCCTGGTTAAAGGGAGCTGTTTTGGTCCCCATTGCTGCCTCTTGGGGAATAGTAATGACTGTGTTCTCCTTCCCCCCAGGTGCGGGCCAGCGCCATTGCCCAGGATGCTGACCAGAACTATGACTATGCCAGCAACAGTGTCATCCTGCACCTGGATGCCGGTGATGAGGTCTTCATCAAACTGGATGGGGGCAAAGCTCATGGGGGCAACAACAATAAATACAGCACCTTCTCGGGCTTTATCATCTACTCGGACTGAGAGCAGCGCCACACACACAAGCCTTGCCTCACTCACCTCGGCTCTGCCCACACCACAAGGACTGTGAAGGACCCTGGCATGGGGCCCCTGCCCTGGAGAGATCTAGGGAAGGATCCCAGGCCACTGGCAAGGGGTGTAATCTCACCCTTCCCCTCCTAGCCCCGGCACCCACCTGCTTGTCTCCCCCGCATCCCATGCAAGCACAGAGTCCATGCTTGCACTCATTCAGGGGGAGGAGGGTGATAAGAAAAGGCTGAGAGGGCTGAGCCAGGGCAGAACTGGGGGTGTGGTCCCTGCAGTACCCCCTCCTACTGCCCAAAGTGAAACCCTGCCCTGTAACTTGGCTGTGAAACCTGCCTAGCACTAGGATGGTCCCCTGGCACCCCTCTGCCACTGAGTACCTGTGCTTTCCAGTTCTCCCACTCCATACCATTGAGATCTCATCCCCAGCTCAGTGCACTCTTTTCTCCTGCTTGATACCAGTGGGTTCCTCTGCCTCATCTGTGCCAATCCCCTCCCTTCCCCTATTCAGTGCACATGGCTTGACCCTCCTTGCGCTGCCTGGCTCCTCTCCTGGGTGAATGGGTATCCACCTTTGCTTCCTGGTAACATCAGCTTGCTCTGCTATGTGTGATCCCAGCTGAGCCCCATGCCAGGCACTGAGAGCCTGCTTGGCTCCTAGCTCAGAGGGAAGGCAGGCACAGCAGCTGGCAGGAGCTACAGCAGGGTCAGGATGTCTTCAAAAGCCTGCAGGCCCTTGCGTCTCCTTAGTTTGGTTGCTGGGTCCAGGCCACCCTTTTCCCTGTCCTGACTAGCAGGGGGAGTACAGGAGCCCCTGGCCTTGCATGTACATATGTACAGGATGTGTGTATATTTATACAGATGCCTCTTCTGGGGAGTGCTGTGTGGCAATGGGACCCCCCCCCCCCCCCCCCAAAGCACAAAGTGGCACCTGTTTGCGCTCTGCCCTCCTGCTCCTTGTGGTCCCAGTGACAGGCCCCAGCTGTGCTGCTCCTCCCTGTTTCGTCCAGTGCTGGGGGTACTTTGCTGGGGGTGGGGTAGGGAATTGATTTTCTTATCAATATAAGAGCAAATCCATGGTAAAAAGAGCTGTGACCTCTCCTGAGTCTGGTCTCTTCTTACTTGTACTACTCTGGTTGTTCTTTCCTCAGGAGGGCAGGTGAAGGGGGGTGGGAAGGTGGGAAGGGGTGATTCCAGGCATGGCCTCTCCAGAACCTACCCTGGAGCAAGGATCAAAGCAATGACTGTCCATCCATCCTTCTGTCCATCCATCCATCCATCCATCTATCCACCACCCCGCATCCGGGGCAAGTCCCATCGCAACACACTGCATGGGCTCAGAGCTTGAATGAAAGGAATAACCAAGCTAATAAATAAACCCACCCCACCATGTACTAAGCTTGTACGTTTGCTTTGGGTAGGGTTGGCGCCCTGGGGAGGGGATGCTGGAGGCATGGGTCCCAGGTCCACAGCTGGGGATGAGTACAGTATCAATGCTCAGGAAGGGTTAGCAATGGGACCCTTTGCAGTCATTTGGGTGGCTTGGAAGATGCAGAGGCTGGGAGACACTGCTAACTCATCAACAGTCAAGCCTTGGGAGCTAATGGCCACAGTGTCCCATGGTCAGAACCCCAGGGCAGAGGGTATGCCTGGGAGCCTGCTCCCATAGTAGCCAAGGGAGGTACATCATGATTCAGGAGCACAGAATCAGTACCTTCTAGAATGGGGGGCCATGGTGGGAGGCACAGCTGTGTAAGTTTGTTCATCCAGAGTACCAGGTTACAGACCTGGGATATCAGCTCAGTCACCTCCACTGACCCCCTGATGCTAAGACATAAAATGGGTCTCTGCTGGCTTCAGCCACTCTTTTTAGTCACAATGGGAGAAAGAAAACTGAGGCTGTTCCCTTTTTAAAGCTGGAGCTTGGGAGAGAGCACAAGCCAGTGGAGGGCTGTGGGTTCAGAAGTATGGATTCCAGGAGTGGCTGTGCAGAAGGGTCAGGCTGCAGCACCTGGTGCAGAAGGCAGCACTCCCACAGCATTGACCTGCTCCTCCTCAGCTCCAGCTCTCTGTCTGAAAGCTCCACAGTGGATGTTCAGCACTGTCTGTCACAGGAGCAGGAAAATGCCGCTGGCTGGGATCCAGAGGTGTTTTAATAGGGCAAGAAATGAAAATGAGGCCACCGAGTCAAGGAGTTCAGCTCCCTGGTGAGCATCAATGCCTGAATCTCAGAAGGAAAGAGACTGTGATCTTTTGCCTGTTGAGCACTGGCCCAGTGGAGATCAATGGGGGCAGCACCATAGTAGCTGTTCACACCAACTGAGAAGTGACCATCTGCAGTGAGGTGGTGCATTTTGATGCCATTCTCTGAGGACAGATATTCATGCCATGGAACCAACCACCACAGATATAGCCCATGCTGGGAGCCTTGGGGGAGAGGCCTACAAATGTATAAGCCCCAAAGCATGCTGACAGACATGACCATTTGTCACATGATCAGCCACTGAAGGTGCTTTACTGCCATGCAGTGACAGGAGTACATGGCTGCAGAGCATTTATAAAATGCTCAATTACACAGCATTCTGAACCCTCATGAGGGTTCAGATGAAGGCACTCCAAAGCAGCGTGCCTTAGTTAATGTGTGTCAGCATGTGCCGAGAGCAGGGCTGGGCTGTGTCAGCACTGCTTCCAGCAGTGTCTTCAGAATGGGAGGGGGAGAAGGGAGGGATGTGAGTTCAGTCTGGGGTTTGCCCAACCAGTGCTGGAGGGTGGCGTGGGAGGATTGGAAAGGTGGAAGGTCTCCAATGCACCCACCTTCCCTTCTCCAGAGCAAGCTGGGGAAACCCTGAAACAGACCTCCCTCAAGGAGGTCCCCCAGTCCCATCCTGAGACAGCACCAGGAGTTTGGAGAGATGGGTAGGGCTAGGGGCAGATGCTGTAAACATGCAGCCTCTCTCCCCAGATCAGCTCCAAGTGGAGCTTGATCACCTACCATTCCGATTCAACAGTGAATGTCTGTTGGGTTGGGAAGGTCAGTTTAACTCATGGCACTTTCTGTAAAGCACCATGAGTTAGACTGGGGAGCTGTACATCTGTCAATGCAGTTTGCACTCCTCTTGTTCACCTCTAGGTGACTGCCCAGCAGGGGGCGCTCACAATAATGCCATGACAATGGGCAGGCCAGCCAGATGTTACCTGGGTGCGATACAAGCCAACCTAAGGCAGGAGGTAAATATGCCCATCACTGAAGTTGCCAGTCTCAGTCATCAGACCAAGGACTGAGCACTCACTCTGGTATCATACCTACCACTCTGACAGTCCAGGGTCCTGACTAATCTTCCAGATGAGGGCAAATGCCCTCTTCCCCTGCTGTGGCTGAACACCTGCTCTGTGGCTGAACAGAAGGTCCTCTCTCACCTGAGGAGGGAATGGGAAGGCATTATCTGTGCATAGCATTAGCCATGGCACTTCTGAAAGAGGAAATGGCATGACACTGGAGTTCAGTATTCTGGACCTTCCTCCAAGCCCCACTGCTTCAGCCCTTTATCACAAGGTGTGATTCTTTCTATCTGAATTCTACCATCATCTGCCTCACTAGGTTCTGGTGGGCAGTCTCTTCCAGATGGTTGCGCCCCCCCTGCTCAGTTTATTGGTCTGTCGTGTGGAGGTGGGAGAGTGTCTCCTTGTGCAATTGTTTCAGAGGCAGCTGCTCCACAAAGCAGCAAGGACTCTGCCTCCCTCAGTGAAATGACCCATTGAACTAGTCCCAAAATTGGCTGCCCCCCACACCCAATGTTTCCACAGTGCCAGCATTCTCCTGGCAGGCCTTGGTATGTATACTCAACTGAAGAACTTCGATGGTGAGAGAGCCCTCTACTCTGCCCTCACCAAAGTCACACTACCCCCACCAAGTGGAAAGAGGCTTTAGCCATTGCTCAGCAGCCACTTAACATGAAGATACTCTCACATCTTCAGCCAGCCAGTGCATCCCATTCTGCGGCTGGTGTCTTCTTGGAATGCACCATGCTCTCAAGGGACCCAGCTGCTGAATGAAGCTGAATAGAGCTGCCACCACCATGTAGTAGCTCCAGTAGCTCTGGTTGCTTGACAGGGACACCTGCTGTCTGAATTTCTGGCGGCAGATACAGCTTAGTGTAGACATAGCCTCGTTGTCTGGGGAAGCCACTTCTGCTTGACCCTGAGCCCTTCCTGAAGCTGGAAACCTACACCAGCCCTTTCTCACAAAGATGTGGTGGTGATGACAACACATTCCTCACACCCTTTAATCCCACAGCTAAGAGATTCAAGCACCTACCCAGGACATGGGAGACCTACTTGCCCTGCCCTTCTCTGCCTGGGAGTGTGTAATTGGGCACTTCCTGTCCTGATATGGGCACTTTCAGTCCCTCCTGTTGAAGCTGCTTTACTTTGCATGGAAAAGTTGAAGATCCATTGGGCCAGTGAGAGGGAGAGAGACTGCTGGACTCTACAACTGAGTGATGTGTACCCTCATCTGAGGAGTAGGAAAACATTGTTTCCAGGCCTGTACCAATGGAGGGTCAGATATTTTATACTAAGTAGTCGCTGAAGCAGAACTCAAAACCCATCCTCCCAGGGGTGTGCTCTAACTATGCCATTAGAGCAGTGGTTTTCAACATATTTGACCCTATAGCCCACCTGCAAAGGGAACCACACAAACTCCTCTCAGCAGACCTAATTAGCCCATACACTGAGCCTTGCAGAGTTGACTCGCTTCCTGTTCAGGAAGCAAGAGCAGCCCAGCATCGCAGCACAGTGCAGGCTGGGGCCACAGAAAAAATCAGGGGACAGATCAACTAATATATACTGCAAACCCAGCCTCAACACTACCACAGCTCTCTGCCAGGGGTGGGTCCAGAATTTGGCAAAGGGGGGTGCGGGAGCAGGCACCCGTGGTGCAGGGGTGGTTGCACCACCTCCCCCAGTCTCCTTCCCCTCCTTGTCACCTGCCCCACTGCCCCAGATGTGGCAGACCATGACTGGAGCCTCTGGAGACTTTTTTTAAAGCCCTCAAAGCAACTAAGAACCTCCCCGTCCCCATCCTTAACAGAAGAACATCCCTTTCCCTCCCCTTCCCCTCCTTGCCTTCCTGCTGCTACTGCTTTCCCAGGTATCCCAGGGTGGGAGAAGCTTCAGAGCCCCTCCTGCCCACTCCAGTCAGGCTAGGAGGCAGCTGGCTCAGCCAGGACAGAGGCAGTGGTAGCAGTGGAGATGGGTGTAAGGAGGGTTTCACCACCCTGCCCCATCCCTGCAGGAGCAAGCACAGGAAGAGGGAACCCACCTTCCCATTGCCTCTGCTGCTGTCACTGTTCCCAAGTAAGCCCACCCCTGTGCAGCCTGGCTGGCACTCAGGACTGCTTTGAAGCTTTTCCAGCCCCTGGACAATTGAGAAAGCAGTAGCAGCAGATGGGAGACAGGGGAAAGATAAGCAGAGGGGATGTGCCTCTGAGCAGCTGGTAGGGAAGGGGAGGGGAGGAAAGGGGAGAGAGGTGATGTACCTCAGAGCGGAAAGGGAAAGGAGGGGATTTTTACATGCTTTGCGGAGTTTAGATGAAAAAGGGGGGTGCAGCTGCACAACTGCACCCCCTCTATATCTGACCCTGCTCTCGCAGACCAGCGTTGGGTACCACTCAGCTAGTCAGCCAGGCTCTCTCTCTCTCTCTCTCTCTCTCTCTCTCTGGCCCAATGAATATTTAATCATTCAGTTTTGTAAGGTGTCATGCTAGAAGCCCATCCTCAACAGACTTCCCATGGCTCAGTCAGGCTACTCAGCAAGAGGAAGGGCTGAGTGGATCCTGCTGGAACGTCTACCACTGACTCCAGAAAAGGGAGGCTTCTTATCCTGTTATCCACCCCTTACTGTAAAGTGGGTAAGGGGTTAGATGCATGCTCTGGAACAAAGTCTGAGACCATC